GCTGCCTTTTAAAAAATAGTGACAGTTTAATATTTTTGTAACATGGAAAAGGTACAAAGAAAAATACATTAATAAAATATTTAGAGGTCAGTTATAATGCAAATAATTAGTATAATACACATGCTTTCTTTTTTTTTTAATCAATGCCTTGCTTAAAAATATCAGTTCCTAAGTGTTGGTGATAATTTATAAATTTATAAATCTTTAAGAACATGAGTCATAGGAGAGAAAGAATCATAAAAAAACAGGGACATTTGCAAATGTGAAACAGAATAATGGAAAGATTTAGTGAATTTTCTGAAGCTTACAAAACAATTGAATGACCAGGCTGGGAAGGAACTCAGGTCTCCTCCCTTCCAGTCAACATCGAAAATTAACCAGATGCTTTTTGCACCCTCTTCCACTAAAAAAATTAGTAGCATGAAGCCAGTCAAGTGTTGCTCTTCAGAGCTTTAGAAACTCAATTTAAATCATTCTTTTAAATACTAACTTGAGTTTTATAATGATGGGGTTAAGTTATTAAAATGCCTAAGTGGGAATATATATTAAAACCTTAAAATTAATATTTGATATAAAATGTTGACAGACATTAAATAGACTCAGTATAGATTGGAGAGACACAGGTTTCCTGATAGCTAAGTTTGAAATTGTAGCATCTCTATACCGATTATTTAAGATTATCAGTTTAACAGTAGACAAAAAGCCATAGTTCCCTACTGTTTGAGAACCATTAATTACTCTACAAATAACTAAGGGATTTCCTGGCCTTTCTTTAAATATAAATTCAAGATATTTAGATTGTATTGCAATAACGTGAAATGTACCTGGAAACCTAAAAGACTTTTGAGGTAAACAATTTCTAGCTGATCTCCAAAAATAAAGATTTCCATTTGTAATAAATTTATTGTGCATTGCTTTAGACATTTATGAATTTATTCATTCATTTAATGAGCACATACTTTTATTACATACCTATCATTCTCAAATCACCTTGTGAGGTGTCATGGAGGGAAAATAAAAAGAAGCAAAACTATGTTTCTTACCTTCAAGTTCTAAGATACCAGCTTAAGAACCCTTATCAGAGAAGTCCACCTTGTGGAAACTCAATCCTTACCCATTTATGGAAGCTCCCTTACAGTGAGGGGCTGATGTCCCATTTTGGTAAAGCTTTTCTTGGTTTCAACATTGCTTATGTTGCCATTGGATTACTCTTCCCAACCTTACACATAACTCAATTTTCCTTTTTTTTTTCCTTTTTATAGTCCTTTTGCCAAGTATATGTTGTTAATGCTGGGATTGACTAAAAATTAACCTGTGGTGGAAAAAATCTGTTTGGTAAATTGTAATCCTATTGAGAATCCTGTGGGACCAGAGATAACATGAAAAGAATGAGGAAATACCTAAATTAACAAACTGGTGGCAAAGTCTTCTTAAGGTGAGAAAAGTCCAGTGACATTTAATGACAATATTTAGAGTATCGTCACAGAGCTGGTCAAACACTTAGCATCCAATCATGCTGTTAATACTTAGGGGAAGGATTAGAGAATGTCAGAGACCTCATGAGGGAGGTCTAGAAGCAACGCACATTCTTCCTTCCAGTCTCTGTGGGCATCATAAATACATCTTTGGAGAAGGTTTTTATTTCAATTGTGCACTAATTTCCTATATTTTGTTGTGTTAAGTATTAAAAAGTATGGAATTCCTGACAGTTCTGACATATATGAATGATCTTAGCAACTGTGATCTAATGTGGCATGCATTGTTATTTCTATGTTATAATGGGTGAGCTGTTCCCCAAAGAGGTTAAAGAATCTATTGATGATCAAAGTTAGAGCTAAACCCAGGTCTTCATAGTGAATACTTTTCGATGCAAACTTTAACCTGACCAAGAACTTTTCAAGGAAATCCTGTTAAATTTGACACCTTATGGACAAACCCAAAACAGAACTAATCATGAATTTGCAGAATGAGGGTCCATACTAATTAATGCATTAAAACCAATTGGGTAAGCAGCTTAAAATGACTTAACTTCCATGTGTTATACTTAGGCCAAAATCAAATTCTGAGTAATTGCTATATTTTTAAAAGTTAGACATGTCTCAGTGGTATCTGAGTGAAGATGACTGATAAAATTTTTACCTTAAAGTCTATATTTCCTTGAAAATACTTCTTTAAAATATGCTTTTCTCTCACAATTAAAATATTTGTTTGGATTGAAAATTATAAATGTTTCTTTTTCAGTAATGTAAAGACAATGGGTCCAAAATTACTCAATTGTCTTCCTTAAGAAAATAGACTATTTCCAATAAATTTTTAAGCAATTTTGATTTTTACAAAGAACAATCTTAACATTTCATGCTCCCCCTTATGCTCTCCTATATTTTTTGATAGAAATATATGAATAAAATTTTGCTTTTTATAAAAATATACAAGCAAGAGTGAAATAAGTCAATCAGAGAAAGACATGTATCATATGACCTCACTGATATGAGGAATTCTTAATCTCAGGAAACAAACTGAGGGTTGCTAGAGTGGTGGGGGTGGGAGGGATGGGGTGGCTGGGTGATAGACATTGGGGAGGGTATGTGCTATGGTGAGCGCTGTGAATTGTGCAAGACTTGAATCACAGATCTGTACTTCTGAAACAAATAATGCAATGTATGTTAAGGGAAAAAAAAAAAGAAGATAGCAGGAGGGGAAGAATGAAGGGGAGTGAGTAAGTCAGAGGGGGAGACGAACCATGAGAGATGATGGACTCTGAAAAACAAACTGAGGGTTCTAGAGGGGAGGGGGGTGGGAGGATGGGTTAGCCTGGTGAATAGTATTAAAGAGGGCACGTTCTGAGTGGAGCACTGGGTGTTATGCACGAATAATGAATCATGGAACACTACATCAAAAACTAATGATGTAATGTATGGTGATTAACATAACAATAAAAAATTATTAAAAAAGAAAAAATATATACAAGCAAAAGGGAAGTTTGGAAAATATTTTTTAAATTGAATTTTAACTCACTTTTGTTAATTTTAAAACAATATATAGAGAAGAATGATAAATATATATGTATATATATATATATTTTAATTGATGTTCCTATTATCCTAAGCATAAAGGAAAGCATGTGTGGCTGATACATGATGTAAACTATTTTAAGGTAATGATTTTAAAAGTAGATAATGTGTTTCAATTTATAATTTGTCTCAGAAAATAATGTATTTTTACTATTTTTTCAGGAATGCCTTTTGAATGTGGACTATGTTCAATGACTCCATATGATGAATATATGCCATGACTATGGGAAAACTAGCTTCATAAATGGAATCAAGTTATTGGAACACCTCAAGTTTTATATTATAAGACTGAGCTCATTACTTTTTTCTCTTCAAAGCCACCCCTCATCCTATGTTTCCTATTTTTATGAATGGTTCCAACCTTCCTCCACTCATACAACTTGAAAACCTTCACTCTGTCTCAAACATGTCTCTCAACCTGAGCAAGTCAATCAGACATCAATTTGTCTTTAATCCTTTTTTGGACTCTGTCCCCTTTCTTTTTTTCATCCAAATACCCCTACCTTTGTTCAAACATTTGTAGTCTATTTCCTGAACTATTCTGGCTTCCCTGTCTTTGATGTCTCCTTAATATCCTTCATTCTGACTGCTGCCAGTTTTTTCACTGAATCACTGTCTAGTTCAAAAAAAAAAAAGTAATCTTTCAAAGAAAACCAATTAACAACAGAATAAAATCCCAAACTTACTTTTCATGGCATTTAGGGCATTTAAATCACCTTTACAGACTCCCTCCCTGAACAGCAATAGCTGGGTAACTGATGAGTCCTCATTTTTGCAACACCCTTCTGAGCAGGGAGCCCCAAAGAGCAATGACTGAGGAGCAAAATAGACTGAGTTTGAATCAATCCAGTACCTTTGTTCCTTCCCTCATGGATTGAGGTACCACTCTCAGGAGTTTAGAAAGGGTGTATAGGAAATGCAGTGGAGAGCCAGGGAACTATGTCTATCCCGAAGTCTGATATCATTGTGACTTGTATCATTGTGACCAGATTTAGTTACTGCCCCAGTGAGGGCTGTGGCTTGTTCATCTTTGTGAGCACACTCTCTATACAAAGTAGATTCTCAGTAGATGTTTGTCCAACTAAACAGAACGTACATGAAGCATGAAAAAGGTGTGCCCCATTGTTTAAAGGGAAGATAACTTGTCTTGATGGCATAAGCATCAGTCATTCCTTTTCTTTAAATCAACTTAACTGAGGCTGAATCAACTTTATTTATACACCATAAAATGCACCCATCTGATGAGTTCTGACAAATGCATGTATTTTTGAAACTTGGCTTTTTTGTTTGCTCGTTTTTCACTCAGTCATTTGAAGCACAATCTGACCCTGTAGACAAAATAGAGTGTACCCTTATTCTGCACTCTGAAACCCTAAGCCCCCCACAAGGTGAGGACTCCATACTGGCAAGGAATGTCCCATTTTCGGGAGCCAGGGCTCAGCCTACCTGTAGGCCCTTGGTTCTTTATGGAACTGTATTAGTAAATAAAAGAACGCTGTGTCCTGGAATTTAGGCTCCAGGAAGTACTCCTAAGACTCCTGCAATTGTGGATGCTCTCTCCGGTGGGACATTCCATGGGCCTCTGCCTTGTTGTGGCCACGCAGCCCAAGGTTGGAGGGCAGCACCCCCGGACGCTGCTGCCTGGGGGCAAAGTGATCCCTCAAAGGGTCAGCCAGAGTGCTGGGGTGGCCCAGAGGCAGGGGACTAGGTCAGGGGGGCGTGGAGGAACCGGCGGGCGGCGGATGTGACCGGCACACTGAGGACTTGACCCTCACGCTGACACAAAAGAGGCCGGGAAGTGTCCGGAGGAAGCGGCGCGTCATGGGGGCCGGAGCCGGGACCCTGGCACGGCCGCCCAGCTGCGTCCCGGGTACACGGCCCGCACCGCCAGCCGCACTCCCGCCACCGCCAGCTCCGCGGCCGCCGCCAATGAGACTCCTCCCGCTCCTAGGTGAGTGCGCGGCGGGCGCGGGCGCGGTGGGGCCGCTCGCTTGCAGGGCATGGGATTGCTCCGAGGTGGTACTCGCCTCCCCAGGGCAGGAGGCCAGGTTTCTGAGAACTGACGCAGGACTTCTCAGGATGTTTTTCTCCTTGGCCTTTCAACTCTGGAATTCGATATGCACGGCCCAGGGACTAAGTCACCTTTTTATTCCCGAACACAAAGCCTCCGAAGTCCCCAAAGGCTCAGACTGTGCCCCCCCCCTTTTTTTTCTGATCGCCCCTCAAGGAATTTGGGAAAGCCAAACCAGTAACACCTGTGGGAGGTTTCCTGGCATTTTAAGGGGACTGCCAGCCCAGACTTTGGGTTCGTTTAAAATACCATTTTGAGGATGTTGTGCAGAAAGATAAATCACATCTTTGAAGCTGAATTAATTCTGGTTTAGACAGTTTGGACAGCCCTATGCGAGGATGGGATTTAGAATCGAATGTTTAACAATCTCTGGTTACCAGATAAGGACAATGTATCTCAGATGAGTGTTTTTGCAAACAATTAACTTGGCATGATTCCTGACCGTCCATCCTCAAGCAGGCTTGTCTTGAGAAGACCCCGGACAACACTCTAAAAAAGGATCGGCCCAGGCTTTTCCTCATCTTTTCCTAACAGCCCACAGAATACCATTTCCAACTTTGTTTTCAGTAACTCTGAAACAAAGTCTTGTTCTCTTTTATGCTTCATTTTGTTGGTTGTGTCTGTATGGTGTTGGTTTCCGAAAGATCAATCTTTGACCAATATACTGAGTTTATCTTAAATTCCCCTAATGGGAGAAGATGTAGCATAAATTTCATGATGCGAAAGGCAGAATTTAAAAAGAACATTGGAATACAGGAAAAAAAAAAAAAACAGTAATTACATTTGTCCTCCTGGATGTTATGATATGTTGCTCTTCATCTTAGAATTATACCGATTTGAATTTGAAAAGACCCAAACAATCAATTCATCTTGACTTCTTCACAGAATCTTTCCCAGAGGAGGCAAATTGCTTTACAATCACGCAGTTCCCTTTAAAAAGATCTCACCTCAGAGTGAAGAGGCCATCTAGGAATGGTGTTTTCTTTATAGAGCTGGGTTGTTTACTACATTATAGCTTTGTTGAGATTTACTTGATAAACACAGATTGAAGAAAGTGCTAATCTTTTGCCTACTTGTTCTTGTGCTGTTATTTAGCTAAATACTCCCTTGGGAAATTCTCATAATCCATTTATCTAGATGGAAAGAAAGAAGGGTTTTTGTGTTTATTGTAGTCTAACTCAACAATGTGAGGGGGGATCTTTTTCTTTTCTTTTTTTTTTGAAAAAGTATATTTCTCTGTTTTCCTTAGTGGGTTTTTCCACTTTGCTGAATTCTTCCTACACTCAAAATTGCACCAAGACACCTTGCCTTCCAAATGCAAAATGTGAAATACGGAATGGAGTTGAAGCCTGTTACTGTAACATGGGATTTTCAGGAAATGGTGTCACAATTTGTGAAGGTAAACAATCTTTATTGTTTTCCTCTTTTGGATTTTTTTGAAAGAGTAAATTCTGATGTGATTGCTTCTCCCTTGTCCAGAAATTAAGTGTTTTACATTCAACTATTTGATTCCATGCTACTGATTAAAAAAAAAAAAAACTTAATTAACTCAACAGTAAGTTTGAACTTCCCACTTAAAATTTTATACTTAACTATTGATTTTTGAAGAGCATGTATATCTTATTTTTGTGTAACTATTAAAGACTGTCCTTGAACTTAAGCTGGAAAACTAAATTGCAGAGAGCAGAGTCAATACTTTTGGGAACAGAAGAACAGAGAGTTCATGAAGTCCGGGCTAACTGCTATGTGTTGCCTTCAGGTACCTTCTTTAGTATTTGACTTCCTAAATTTGAGGACAATATTAAGAGATTCGAGGGTTTTGCTTGTATACCCTGCATGACACCCTGGAGAGAGAGACAGAAAAAGAATTTTGAAAACATATTCTTTTCCGAAAAAGTAGATCTCATTTATAGAACTTGAGGCTACAATCCAGAGCAGTAACAGTGGAAACGGTCCTGGCAGGGTTCAGTTCTGCCCAGTGATTTGATAAACAGAACCGTATCTGATAATCATACTTCAGTGATTTCTTATCTGTGGTTTCCACCACCACTCTTCCTCTTCCCTCAAGCTTCACTCTGTCCTGATTCTCTCTTTCATTTTTAGTAGACTCTAGTTTTAACTGGGTCAATGGAAAAACATTCTGTGTAGCAGAGAGAGAGAGGAGGAAAAAAAAAAAGAAAGAAAACAGTTCCAAGTCATATAAATTAGTTTTAAAATATAATTAAATGACAAGTTCAAATGAGAACTGTGTGGTTTTATACTCCTAAATGTATTTAAGATAACATGGACTTTTTCTAATTAAGCCAGGATGTTGTACATTGTTAATATGGCATGTGTTTGCTTATAGCGTAAACAAGTTGTATCTCGTGATCTTTGATAGGCTCTTAAAAAGGATTAAATATGCAGTACATAGTAAGACCAAACCTCATCATAATTAGTTTAATGTTTAAAAAATGTAGAGCACAGCTAACAGTTGCTAATGGTGCATTAGATCAGGCGCTTCTCCTTGTACATACAGCCGGGATTTGCAATATACTACTCTACAAGCATTACAAAATTCTTTCTATAAATAATCTTAGATTTTTATTGTGTACTTAATTGAATGGCATTATGGCAAGTTGATAGTCGAGTGACCTTCAAAGCATTGCATCAAACATATTAGTGTGCTTTTCCGCTAATCATTACAAATTGTACCATAATACTTCTAAAATGGTGTTGCCTTTTTGTTATTTAGATACTTTTCAACTGTCATGATTACCGTCATTAACATCAATAATTTTTCACAATTTGGACCTTCAGCAGCTAACCAGATTATAATCATCTTTTTAATGATTTTTTTTTTTAAACACATCTCCCATTATCCAGTGCACTTGTTTTTTTCCCCTGCTGCCTAAGTCAATAGTCAGCTGAAGGGCAGAAAATACTTTCTGTTGAAAAAAAGAAAATACTTCAAGATCTTTTGGTCTGTGATTTCTTCTCACACAGAACACAATTTGTAATGGCACTTTCTTTTTTTCTTTTCAAGTTCTTTTTAACTTAAACCCCTTATTTAAAGAATGTTATAAATTCACTTGTTTTAATATTCACTGTATGAGGCTTATAATGTCCTCTTAAAACTGTTCAAACAGTGGTTTCCACCTTTTTCATCTTTTATTAATTCACTGATAGGCTTTTGACATTTTTCTCCATAAGTATATTTAATATGCTTTTTAGAGTTAAAACATTGTGTTCTCAGCTGCTGACTAGTCTAGGTTATATATTGGGTTTGAAGAGTCTTGGCTCTCTTCATCTCTAATGAGATTTCCCACTTTTCCTACCTTTCTCTAAAATTGGTATTAGGTCAGTAATAACTGGAGAGCAGTTTTGTTACAGAGGATGCCTACTTCTTGAGGAATAAAAGTTGATTTATTTTTTATCTCATTACTGTCATCTTCCTCATCTCCGTCAAATTTGGCTCCCTCAGAAACCCGCCAGATAAATGCTATGGTAATAACCAGACCTCACTAAATGTACTCTGTTCCAAGAGCTAGTTTTGAACAAGTCATTTAGAATTTGGATAACCTGGTCCCATAGAAACAAGTTTTAATAGTAGTGACTTTATTTCATTATTGTCATCATCATCATCATCACCCTCATATCAGGACAGCTAATATCTACCATGCACTGAGTCTAAGATATCAATTAGCACAGCTCCTTCATCTATTATTATTCTCACATTATCTATAAAGACATAGAGTCTTAGAAAGCCCAAGTAAGTATCACAAATGATGCAACAAATAGGTGATAGAGCCAAGATTTGAGCCAAAGGCTGTTTCCAGAGTCTGTACTCGACTCACTATGTTTGACCATAAGACCTCTGCCTAGCAGATATTGCTATGCCCCTGAATTAAAGTATAAATAAGAAATTGGCCTTGCTTTCCAGGATATCTAGGGACAGCTACAGAACGATATTAACAACTTGATGCAGTGTTATAAAATGTATAAATACAGGTAAATTTGAGATGCGTAACCAACTGCAGGGCAACTTGCCAAGTGGAGGTGATATTTAGGCTGAGAATTGAAGAATATAAAGGATTGATTAAGATTGACAAAGTGACAAAGTCAGGCAGAATGAATCAGCAATAACAAAGGCCCAGAAGTTGAACATGTGTGGTGTGTTTGAAGGAGCCCCGAGTATTTCATGCTGGATATGTATCACGGGGTATATTAGCTGGGGGGTCATTGGGAATTGAGTTAGGATGTCAAGATACGGACTGTATTCTCTTAATAAAGAAGAGCCATTGGCAAGTATTACGTAGCTGAGTTACATGACAAATTGTGTGTCTTAGAAAGATGACCCCATTAGGTAGAATAAGAATAAATGAACAGGGGTCAACCTAACCTATAAAAACATTGTACTTTGTATAATTCATTATAGTTTATGTCACTTCTATCCAAGATATCTTAATTTTCTTAATAATCTTTTGAAGTAAAAAGTATGGATGCTGTCTTTTATTTACAAACACCATTTTGACTGGTTATAACTAGCTCTGTTGAGCTCCCCCTTATAGCTTTTTGCATGTGACAGGAGCAGGACTATGAAGGTGTAAGTGAGTTTCCGTTCCCCAAGGCCAAGGTGACAAAGCCAGGACTCAAACCCTCAGGATCTCAACCTTCTCCACAATACCAAAAATGTCACTATATGATGAACCACCTGACTATAATTAGTGTACTGCTGGTTTTTAAACCAAATTGGTAAAACAGTACCATCTTAACAGGAATGTACGTATTATTTTCAACAACTTTCCTGAGGTGTTAACAGGAATTTATTTACACACTTATCTTTATGCTGACAATGAGGGTATTTTAAGACAGAAGACAGAGAAGTGTTTGTGTAGAAATTTGGGGGTACATTTAAAGACTTCTGAAATTGTTGATGAGATTTTCCTAAAATTTAGGTTATTTTAGTCTTTTAGACATATATTATTGCAGTTATACCTTATGCTTCTCAGCACAGTGTTGGTTACTCTCTGGGGCACAGTTATAAATCTAGAGAGGGAGACGTCTCAAGTCCCCTGGGTAATTAGGAAAGTTTTAAAAAGGGGAAGGGAGGTTGGAAGAATTGAAAGGATCTTTATGTACATATGAAACATAATATTGCTTGAGTTGAAATAAACTGAGCTGGGAGAGGTGAGAAGCAAGAACAAGGGGAAGGGTGCAGTACAGTGTGGGTGTGAGAGTGGGCTGAAGACATAGACTCTCTCTCTCTACTCTCATACAAGCTCATTAAGTGGTGCTGTGTTTTGGGAAGTTTCATGGATTCAGAATGGGCAGGCGAAAAACAGTTGCCCCAGGCGAGGCCAGGAAAGGCCAGGAAAGCTGTAATTGACAGCTTGTATGCATGTATAAAAATCTTTCATAGTTTGGGACATGCCTCATATGAACAACATCATAAGCACTTTATAAGAAATAATGAAGTCTCAGTGCCTGCACTCAGGGAGACATACTCTGCACTTAAAAAACAGTTTTTCATCATTACACAATAACCATATATATGCCTGTAAAATTCGACTGGAAGGATATCATAATAAACTAGAGAGCATTGTGACACTGGTAAATGCAGAGAGAACAATGTCACAATAGCTATCTAAGAGTTACGAAGAAGAAATAGTCTATGGGTTCGGAATATGGGAGAAATACTGATTAAAATAATCCACTAGCATGATTCTGCCCAGGTTACAGGATAAGCACTAAGGACATGCAATTTTTTCCCATAACAGTTTGTTTTTTAGTAATAAAGAGGATGCTCATCAAAATGGGCACACCAAAAGTCATCAGAACAAATGCAAAGCATACAAAATGAGTGTGCGTGTGTGTGTGTATGTCATGTATCATCAGTTAACACAGTTAGATATACTATCTAAACTATGTCTTACAAAAAATAACTGCAGTTTTAAATATTTAACAAAATGACAATGTGGTAATTTCCATAATAGAAATGGGATCAGCAAAACTTAAATGATACAAGTCATTCTTTCCTTCTTTTAAAAATAGAATAATAGCTTAAGGGAAGTTTTTATAACGGTTTCTTCTTTTATTTTTCTCTTCCTATATGTTGAAGGAATTTGTCATCTTATGGAATGGATATTTTTGAGGAAATCCCACCTAATTATTATGGTAGAGTTTGTTCTCTTTACTGTGTAACCTCTCTTGTCAACAAACGAAAGAGGTCATACCTCTAGTACAAGGAAAAGGATTTCTGGAATTTGCAAAGGTATTTTATTTATTTGGAGGAAGTTCATGGAAATCATGCATCCTGGAATGTAAGCCTTGGGTTAACTTAGACTGTCATTTCTTAGATTGGTTACATTTTCCATTCAGTACAACAAATCCCAAGGAAATATGTACCCCACTTTAAAC